CTAAGCAACTGAGCTATCCAGGCTAGCTCTAGTCTAGAAGCTTTTCAGCACATGACCAGTTCAGGCTGGCATATTAAGCTACAAATGGCATGGCAACCACATCCCAGGAAGAAAGAAATCACCACCTTCTTTTTGTTATACTGTTATCTTTAAGGTCTCCTAAGAGATTCTTAGTAATGCTACCTGTATTTTAAATCTGCCCATGTCAAGCTCCTCTTTCCAGAAGGGAAGATTCACGAACCTACAAAGTGTGATCTTCTCTGCTGTGTCCCCAAGCGCCAGGAGCAACTTGGGATGTTGGAGAATTCTGTCAGAAGCAGAAATCGCTTTTGTTTGCATTTATGTTCCAAGTCTGGAATGGAAATCAATCTTGCAAATACAATCAGCAACAATCCAAGTTAATGCAATCAGTATTAGCTCACAACATTGTTGGGTTTTTCTAAAGCTCGCAGCCGAAGCATAATTAATGACCGTGGTTTGTTTTTTGACATTGTTTTGGCATTTCCTTTACACTGAAATGACTCGGGTGGAAATAATTTTTTTAATCATATGGTAAATGATTGTATAAATTATACTAAATAGTGAGCAGCAGGATGAATCCTGCGGTATTCGGTGGAAACTGAACTGCAGTGGAATGGAAACAGCGCTGACCATGACAAAGATTTGTCTGAATGGAAATTGTTGCTGGCTGACCTAACAAGACCTGCTGGAGCCCATCCCTAACCTTTAGGCAAGACTGTCAAAAACCTCTCCAGATAAACATCAAGTGCAGGGAAAGTGCTTGTGCTGGAGAGGGTTTATCTAGATTTCTTTTGGATTGCATCCATCTTAATGAACATTGTTTTAATAACATTTTACATTGTTTTCTATTTGCAATGGAGAGGGAGGGAGGGATACAATCTTGTATAGAAACAGCCTGGTTGTGAAGGGAGTTACAGCTACAGAAGTCCCTTTGAAGCCTGACTTTCTTCAGGAAGCAATGTGTATTTGACCTGGTATTCCTTGGAGTCACGCATTCTACATATCAATGTTTCTGTGGTGTGTGTGTGTGTGTGTGTGTGTTAGCTGACAATCGTTTGCCAGAGTGACCACTTCAAGCAGAGGATGCCTTCAAAGAGAGGACTGTCCTCTCTTTGGACACATGGCCACCCTAACATTTGGCCAAGTTAACTCTATTAAGGCAGCACACTCCTGTGGCCAGTTAAATACAGTGGTACCTCGGGTTACAGATGCTTCAGGTTACAGACTCTGCTAACCCAGAAATATTACCTCAGGTTAAGAACTTTGCTTCAGGATGAGAACAGAAATCATGCAGTGGCTGCGCAGCGGCAGCGGAAGGCCCCATTAGCTAAAGTGGTGCTTCAGGTTAAGAACAGTTTCAGGTTAAGAACGGACCTCCGGAACGAATTAAGTACTTAACCTGAGGTACCACTGTATTGACATAGGCTACATCTACAGATCCAAATGGGTGTATTATTGCTAGGACAGCAAGTTACTGGCCAGACCAATTAGGCAAGGATTCACCAAAAAGGCTTTAAAACTTTGGGACAAAATAACTGCTGCAGGTTTTGGGTGTATGATTTTTTTTTAAAAAAAGTGGGTACATATCCATCAGTAACCTACCCAAGTCACATGCTGCTACTGCTGCTGAAAGCAGAATGACATTCCAAAGAGGAGAGTTGGGGGGCAGGGTCCCCCAGAGCAGCCGTGAAAATCCTGCTTTTTGCAAAAGCAGCTTATGACCCGGCAAGCCCTCCCAAGAGCCTTAGAGGTCAGGAATTAATCGGGGTGGATCATTTGGTTTGGAAGAGAGAATGTCATCAGTCAGGTATCATTAATCTCGGAGGGTGGGAGGCAGAGAATCTGTGTTTACGACAGTATTCCCTAGAGAAGATGCAGAGAGTGGTGGCCAATGGATTTGGGGCATGTCCGAGCAGGCATACCAGGCTACCCAGTAATAATAAAGCATATTTTCTGAACTGTGGGCAGCCCATCTCCATCCCAACTGACCACCATAAGGAAACATTAAGCATTGAGTGCCTAAGTTTGCTTGTTTCTCTCTTCCCTCCTCATCCTTTTTTCCTTTTGTGCCATGCCCTTTTTAGATTTTCAGCCCAAGGGTTGGGGACTGCATTATTTTTATTAATTTTGTAAGCTGCTCTGGGAGCTTTTCCGACTGAAAGCAGGGCCTAAAAGCTTTGAATGAATAAGTAAATGATATATTAATAGCTTTGCTGGATACAACCAAAAGTCCATCAGATCCAGCTTCCACACAGATGCCAATTCGACGCCTCCAAGAACTCCACATTCAGGGCACAAAGGCAATAGTCTTCCAATACTTTTTCCCATCCCCGGGCAGCAGCTAAAAATCAAATGTACACTGATTCTGAGCACTGAGGCTCTGTTTAGCAGTCACTATAAACAGCTGTCAGCAAGTGGAACCTGCAACAAAATGTTGCACCATGGAATGCTCCTCTTCAGTGTTCTAACCAGCCAGCCAGCCATGCTTTCCTTGGGGATACTCCATTACCCAGACCTGCTTAGCTTCAGCAAGGTGGCAGCCTCATATGGCCCTGCTCTGGGATCTAGATAATGTGCAATCGCAACATCAAATAAGATAATACCTATGCAACACAGATACGATTTTGAAATGCTTTATCAAGGTAATGCTTCTTGCTAAAAATTGCTCGAGACAATGTTTGTACTTCAACTCGCCTAAGCAGAAGCTGTTATCAATAACAGCCTCTACAGCTGTTATTGATCCACTCTATCTGGGTCTTATCTGCAATCGCCACTGAACAGGGCTGAGGCTAGTAAAGTGTTTGCTAAGCAAAATTACTCTGTGTTGTCACCTCAAAATACCTACAGATCCTTCACTCATAATCTATGGTGGTCCTAACCAGCCCTGGGACAAGGTTGCTGGGATGCTCTGATTTTTGCCTGACTCTCCAGGCTATCTGTGCCTATCCCTTCCCTAGGGAAGGAACTATTGCAGCTCAGTGGCAGAGCACATGCTTTGGGGGAACAAGGTCCCGGGTTCAGTCCCTGCTATCTCCAGTTTAAAGCTTTGCAGGGAGAAGATGCTGGGAAAGGCCTCAGAAGAGCCACTGGGTTAAAGAGCCAAATAGTCTGGTTTAGTATAGGGGAGTCTTATGTTCTGCCACTGCAGTTCCTGAGCAGCAAATATATGATGCTCTCTGCCCTACAACCTGGTGGGGAACATTTGGCCTCCCCAGTATTGTTGGGCTACATCTCCAATCATCCCTGACCATTAGAATCACAGAACCATAGAGCTGGAAGGGAACCCCCAGGGTCATCTAGTTCAACCCCAGAAAATGCAGGAATCCTGCCCACAGCCATCTCTGGGTGGGCTCAAACCACCACCTTCTGGTGAACAGCCAGACACAATGACCCACTGCGCCACATGGGGAATATTGGCTCTCTTAAGTGGGGCTGATGGAAGTTGGAGTCCAACAGCATCTCAGGGGCCACACACACGCTCTCTACTCCTGTGTCCATTCCACAAAGCTTAACACCAGGATGGGACTGAATCAACCAAACCTTTGTTTTAGCTGACATACAAAGCTAACCACAGGACAATGCTAGATCTACATTCATTTAAGGAGACTGGCAGGGGTGTTAGGAAATGGCTCGTTTCATTCTTCTCCCCCACCCACCCACCCGAAAATGGTGCAACCTTAACATTCCACTAGTGGGGAGGATGTCACAAAGTGTAAACCCATAGCCCTGAAATTTGGATGTTGCGGGGAGCCAATTCAAACAGCCCACAGGCAGCAAAAGAGAAGTTACAATAGGTGTTTCAGCTTCTGTTTCCAAACCATTCACATCTAGGGCTTTTATGTCTGCTGTTAAATTCGATCGAGTCTTTTTTTTAAAAAAAAAACACCTAAAGAAACCAGACCCCGCAGAAGGGATCGTCTCTCTCTTTTGAGAAAGGATGCCCAGCAGGGGTAAAGCTATGGAAGATTGTCTCTTTCTTTCCCTTTCTTTCCCTTGGTACAGCTCCCTCCCTTGGTCCCTGGCTGCGCACACACACTTTTCTGCAATGTGCTGAAACTGTAACCTGCTTTCCAAAAGGGATGCATTTCATCTTGGCCTGAACCAATGCACAAGGACTCCAGTTTGGCAGGGAGGTGGGGGGGCAGTAATATACTGGCAGCTGATAACATGGCATCCTTCTGTGGGTGGCCTGGCAGATCTTGTGCCAACAGCATAACTGGCATAGCAGATGCCAACCCACGTCAAGACCCTCTTTTCTTTGGGGTGGGGGAGGGAAGGCAGAAAGGAAATTGCTTCTCTCACGTGCATTAAGTGCAGATGCTCCTGAGTGCATCCTAATGTCCTCAAATAGAGGGTCTGTGATCGAACATTAAGCCGGGATTTGCACCTCCCCCCACCCTGCAAATGCCCTGGCCTACTGTGAATGATTTGGCAAAGGAGGCCTCCACACAGAAGGGATCAGTATGAGCCTCTCTTCTGTGTTTTATCATCCTGAGCAGATGTTCCCTAAAGGCAGTTGCTTGCACTTGGCCAGCAGCACCCTACAGACAAAGAGCCAAAGGCTACTAGCAATGGATGCAGAGGGAAGGAATGTGGTAGGAAAAAGGGGATGGATTCCGGAAGGGAGACTGAGTTTCTCCTGGGAGGGATGCTGTGGCTGGATGTCCCTTCAAGCGCTCCAGGAAAACAGCCAGCGCTGCAAAAAGGCATTTTGCTCTGCATTTGGCAAGGAGCCCAGCTGGCAACAGTCTGCTGTCTGACACATGTGGATTCTTGACATCAGAGGTACAAAATCCCTCCTGAGAGAGAGGAGGGGTGAGGATCACCAGGAATTAGTCAGCCTGGAAAATCCCTCTGTCCAAGTACACACCTGCCTTTAGGCACCCAAAAGCTGGAAGAGGATTGTGCTGCCTGCTACACAAGCCAGTTCTCTCCTGGGTTAGGGAGAAGAACCATCTGGGGATTCCGTTCCCCGAAAGGGAAGGGTCTGTAGTTCAGTGGCAGAGCAACTGCTTTGCATGCAGAAGGTGTCCCGGTTCAATCCTGAGCACCTCCAGGAAGGATTCCTGTGTGAAACACTGGAGAGTCATCGCCAGCTACTGTAAAAAGTACTGAGCTTGATGAGTCACTGGTCTGGCTTCATTTAAGGCAGTTTCATGTGCTCCTTAACAGCACGGAATTGCTTTCCCTCTGTTGACACCTGGGGACATTAAAGGGTGGTGTTCAGAGCGGAGGTGGGGGGGGGGGCGAGGTACCCTTGTTGGACTGTAACTCCCATGGGTTCGTTCCCAGGTAAAAGGACCAGGGAGATGGTGAGGAGAAAAACATCTGCCCAAGATCCCGGAAACCCACTCCCAGTCAGAACCACTGGATCTAGGGTAAATGGACCAATGATCTGGCTCAGCATATGTCAGCCCTATATATTCATGACCACCTAGGCTCTCCTGCCCCAAGGAGCCTTCTGACTCTACTGATGGTGACTCACTTGCAAGCGGGCAATAGCAAAGGCAATGATCCTTTTCCAGCTAAAAGCTCTGGCAGACTGAATGTGTACTAAAGCCCTTAGGGTAATATGGATAAGATTAAATATCTGCTGTCTGGGTTGGACAAGCCTGTAACATTTAATACAGCTAAATTTGCAGTAAAGGCTGCTACACTTAGGTCACGTGGCCTCCTTCGAGATTTAAGATTATGTTTTATTTACTGTATATAATTTATGTTCATATGTTTCTGTTTGGCTACAATCTGTTTTGGTTGCCTTATTTGGAGTTTGGAATACTAGAGCCCTTAGGAATGCTTATTCTTGCCACTGGGTGTTCTAGCAAGACCTGCATCCCTCTGAATGTTGTTGGACTAGAGTTCCCATCAGCCCCAGCCAGCATCACCAATGGTTAGGGAAGAGGGAAAGTGTAGTCCAGCAATATCTGGAGGAATGCGTACTAACCACACCTGATTTGCACAAAATAATCTGTTGCAGCCTCCGCAAGGCCTTATAAACAAGAACTCCAATTACAGGAAAGAACTGCTTTACTTCGGGCAAAGTTTTTATTCCCAGGGGAACAGGCGCACTCTTACACAAACGTGTGGCTACTCAGCGCTTGCATCACTAAGAGCAGGGCTTGACCTGCAATAGAACATCAAGTTAAAAGGCAACCCTGAGGTTATTTTACAACCTGTTTCTCTAAGACTCATGCTCTAAGTGGTCTCAAAGCACTAGTCACCAGCCCAAATTTCAGCATCTCAAAAGATGAGCCATTTTTCTGTCAAGCGAAAGTAAAACAGCAGGCTTGTCACAGTTTAAAAACAAGCTTCAGTCATTCCACAAGTTAGGAAAACAAAAAATCTGCCTCCTCCAATTAACCCTTGCAATTGCGTATATATTCTAAGCTTACTTCCTTCTGCCATCAACTACTAAAAGGTTGCGTTCAGCCGGAGGCCAAGTTTGCAAATTATTGCAACAAGGAAAGGTGAAACATTTCTGTCAGGTATGCTCAGGTGACATTGTTACAAGGACAGGCAGCTTAATGAACAGGGAAGGGAGCAAGGAGCTGTGCAGCTGAACAGCAGTTGCCAGCCCTTGCCCTAAGAAGACTTCCTGTGCCTTTCATGAGAATGTACTGCTAGATCAAACTAACGGCTAGTCTGCCTTCGTTTGGGAGCCTGATGCCCCCTCACTTGCCAGCAACACTTTCTGCCCCTGACAAGACCTCACTGATTTGGGCAGCAGCTGCAAAATAAGAAAAATAATTAGAGGAGACAAAGTGTTGGGGTGGGCAGAGCCCAGCACCTTAATGAAAAAGCATCTCACCTCCTCCCTGCTCTTTGGACTGATCATTTAACACGGGGGCAGCTAATCTGGTGCCCACTAAGTGTTGCAGGACCACAACTCCCATCATCCCTCATCACTGACCCTGCTGGCTGGGGCTGATGGGAGTTGTAGTCCAACAACATTTGGGGTTTTTTTGAATATTTTTTATTAATTTTAGCATACAAATTTTTTTAGACATACCACACTATTATACATATATCCTTATTTGGACTTCCTTCAGCATCTCTGATAGCCTTCCGTCTTAATTATTTCTCCTGCAATTCCTAACTTAATATTGCCTTTACATTTTCTAACAAATCATTTCTTCCTTTCCATTTTTACAATATTTCTTAAATTACTCCTCACAGAGCTTCTTGTAGTCCTACAAACGTAATTTGATCATCACAAATACTTTTCAGATACTCCGTAAATTTAGTCCAGTATTCGGTAAACCTCTGGTCCTGCCAGTCTCGGATCCTTCCTGTTAGCTTGTCTAATTCTGCGTAGTCCATCAATTTCATCCTCCATTCTTCTAATGTTGGTAATTCTTCTTGCTTCCATTTTTGGGCCAATAATATTCTTGCTGCTGTTACTGCCTATAAAAACAACTTACAGTCTTTCATTTTTATGTCCAACAACATTTGAAGGGCACCCTCTGGCCACCAGTTCTTTAATAAGCTGAGAGGGCTCTTCGGCCCTCTCCTCTGCCAACAGATGAGCTGAAGGCTGTATGCTTCTCTCTCTCTCTGTGTGTGTGTGTGTATGTGTGAATGCACACATACAAGAGAGAGACAAAGAGAGAGAGAGAGACAGTAGGTGTGGGAGAGAGTCTGGGGTGGCCCCCCTTGCCCACCTGCCTGCAGCCCCTGGGGTGGTTGACCACAGGTAAATGTGACCCTTGAGCCAAAGGAAAGGTTAGTCATCCCTGCTTTAAAAATTGGTACATTAGACTTGGTTAGGAAAATATGGGAGTGACTGGGTGTTATAAAACTAACAAGGTTAAAAGATAGGGGGAAATATTCAGAAGGACTGAACAGATGGAATCCAGTGACGTATGATAGCAGATGACAACTAGAGATCTCAGGAAGCAGGACAGATTACATTTCAACTGATGGTAAGGACCTTTCCATTACTTTTAGGGAAAATTAAGAGAGAGAGGGAGAGTGATAGGGGAAGGAAGGAAGGAAGGAAGGAAGGAAGGAAGGAAGGAAGGAAGGAAGGTCAGGGATGGGGAACCTGTGACCCTCCAGATGATATTAGACTACAACTCCCATAATCTCTGACCATCCTGCCATCTGGGGCTTATGGGAGTTAAGGTCCAGCAACATCGAAAGAGACAAAGATTTCCCCATGTCTGGCACAGGTAATATCTGGAAGCTGCTTTGTTAGACATCCCTTTTTGAACTCTACAGAAGGACTCCATCAAGAAATGAGAATTACCGACGATCCACTTAGACAGTGCAATTACTGTGCATTACAAAGCACTGCTCAGAAGTACCGTATGTTGCACTGTGTTCCACGGAGCTTTCTCCCATGAAAGCTCAAGGCTGAAGTCCTAAACACACAATCAAGTAAGTGCTATTGAAATCAGTGGGACTTCCTTCTGAGTAAACATCTTTAAGGACTGTGCTAAGGAGGTCTGTAATTTGGAGATATCTACAGAGAATCAAGGCAGAACAACTCTGTCTTTTCCAGCTAAGCCTACAGGATTTACTGAGGCCATTACTTCTTACCATTTAAAATAAAAACCCTTAGTTCACTTCAAACCAAGAACTGCCATTTCAGAGTGATGCCTCCTAAAAATTATGGTAGATGACAGACATCCAGTTCCTTTGATCCTCAAGAGCCTCAAGGAGCCAATGGACATGAATACAAGCAAGGAGAGACCAGACACAGCCTTGCAAAACGGGTCTGGCTTGTTTCTATCTGTGCCCCCAAGGGATTTTGCCAGTTTATCCCTGGTCTTCACTGATGGTTCTGTTGCACTGATACTCTTGGCCGCTTATATATAAGGCCGGATGCAGAAATAAAGTCACAAAAAGATTAACTGGCTGGGCACTTACTAGCTTGGAAATCAGACGTCTGTTCCTTGCTTGGTTTGATCTTAGTTGGAACTCAAATGGCAAATATATGGCATGTGCAAGGACGTGGGGAGGCAGTGATCCAACCCAGCACTTATGCCAGCAGTGTCATCCCTCTGTTGCTTCTTCAAAATCCAGGGAAGTGGAATGGAGGCAATGCTTGGCTCGGCCACACTGATTTAAGTCTGCAGTCAATTGCCTCACCTGGCAGCGGAGGCACCATATACATAGAGTCCGGCCCAACCATGAGGCAGGTTGAAGCAGCTGCCTCAGGCAGAGAAGCCCCTAAGGCGGCACCAACGCAAGGGCCTTGCACATCCCACTGCCTCCACTGCTGGTGGAGAATCAGCACCGATTTCTAGCGAGAGCTCATGAGATCTCGTGCAGCATGTGAGATCTCACTGGAAATTGGTGCCAATGCCAGCTTCTCCGCCAGCCTTAGAGGTGGCAGGGCAGACAGTGGCACTTCCTGTTTCATCTCAAGTGGAGAACAGCACATGCTGCCCCTGATATAGTACATTTGGAAGGCTTGTGGTTCCCAGTAGGGCTGGGTGATATATTGAGATATCATGCAAAACCAGTGTGAAGTCCATATTGTGAAATCATTTTCATAATTTTTGACCTGGCAATATCTCGTGAATCATGGTGTGTGGGTGTGGGTGTTATGCAAAAATCACGATGCAGGAAAAACTGTTAAGCCAGCCAATGCCTCTACATAGCTCCATCCTTATTTTAGACATTTGTGATATATTGGTATATCACGAATATTAAAGGTAAAGGTAAAGGGACCCCTGACAATTAGGTCCAGTCGTGACCGATTCTGGGGTTGTGGCTCATGGAAATAAGTCCAGACTGATTTATGAAGCTGACTTGTTTTCACTAGTCCTACTTAATATTAACCACTGTTTATGTTTTGTACATAACCCTAAAGGTAAAGGTAAAGGGACCCCTGACCATTAAGTCCAGTTGTGGCCGATTCTGGGGTTGCGGCTCTCATCTCGCTTTATTGGCCAAGGGAGCTGGCGTACAGCTTCTGGGTCATGTGGCCAGCATGACTAAGCCGCTTCTAGTGAACCAGAGCAGTGCACGGAAACGCCGGTAACCTTCCTGCCGGAGCGGTTCCTATTTATCTACTTGCACTTTGACGTGCTTTCGAACTGCTAGGTT